CGCTCCCGCGGGTCTAGGTGCGGCGGCGAGCGATGCCCACAGCATGGCCTGGTGCTCCGAGCCCATGGCGCTGCTCCTCGGTTTCGGCCTCCTCTGGCTGTGCTCAGGTAACCACAGGCCACTGCCTCACCCCGGTCAGGCTCAGAGGTGGAAGGAAGGGGTTCCTAGAGATGGGGGGGTCTGCTGGGAGTTAGGGGAGAGACCTTTGGGCCTGCAGGGAGGCCCTGGGGCACTGCCCTGGGAGGAGGACATACCCTAAGGACATACCCTAAGGAGTACGGAAGAGGTCGAAACCTGGGCAGTGGTGCTGGGAAGGGAGTGGACACACAAAGGAAGGAGGGAGGGAATCTCCCCTGGCGTTCTAGGCCAGCAGGAGGGCAGGCTCTGCAGCTGTGTGAAGCATTCTATCAAGAAATCTACCTGGTTCAGCACCCTCCTTTGTCTCTCCATCATTCCCTGTCCACCACATTGGGGTCCTGATTCTGGTCCTCCACAGGGGCAAGGCAGGAGGGGGAGAGAAGTGACTTCAACTCTCTCCTAGGGCAGGACAGAAGGCTTGGAGGGCACAGGCTCTGCCAGGCTGGGGCCAGGGAGGAGCACTCTGAGGGGGTAGGGTGTGTTTGTGCAGAGTTACAGACGGTGATAGAGTGTATGAAGGGCAGGTACAAAGGAAATGTACAACCTAATGAGACTTCCACACGTGGAGGCACGTAACGTGACTTGCGCACATAGATGAGCACTGACTGAGGGGAAAGGGTGGGTGGTGGGACATGAGTAACGGTTCCTTTTGACCACCCTCCAACCCCCCTGGAATGGTAGGTATCTTCTAGGACAGCGGTTCTCAACCTGTGGGTCTCGACCCCTTTGGGGGTCGAACGACCCTTTCACAGGGGTCGCCTAAGACCATCGGAAAGCACATATATAATTACATATTGTTTTTGTGATTAATCACTATGCTTTAATTATGTTCAGTTTGTAACAATGAAAATACATCCTGCATATCAGATATTTACAATACGATTCATAACAGTAGCCAAATTACAGTTATGAAGTAGCAACGAAAATAATTTTATGGTTGGGGGTCACCACAACGTGAGGAACTGTGTTAAAGGGTCGCGGCATTAGGAAGGTTGAGAACCACTGTTCTAGGAGAAGCCATGGAAACATGGGTTTCTCTTGAAACCACCCTCTGAGACCTCGCAGGAGAGCAGGTCTCCACTGATCCTTGCAGAATGGTTTCTGAGTCTGGAGGACTCTGTGTTGGGCTGTCTGGGTAACTTGGTCAGTGACCCCAGGGAGGAATTTCTCTCTGAAGGGCCTCTATGGGGAAACCTAAGCATTTTGATACCTTAGGGATGGAGCATTGGGGAAGCCGTGGCCTCCTGTCTGGGCCTGGGTTGCCCCATTTGCCTAGGGCGAGTGGGATCCTGGGTGGGCCTTTCTTGCCTCCTTACTTACTTCCTGCCCCTCAACCTATTGCCCAGGAGTCTGGGGTACGGACACAGAGGAGCGGCTGGTGGAGCATCTCCTGGATCCTTCCCGCTACAACAAGCTTATCCGCCCAGCTACCAATGGCTCTGAGCTGGTGACAGTACAGCTCATGGTATCACTGGCCCAGCTCATCAGTGTGGTGAGTGGGGGGTCCCAAACCCTCTGCTCAGCTGCTGAAGTCAACACGCCGGAATGTGTTGGTGTTTGTGCGTACTCCTCTGGAGTTCCCAAGGCTTGGGAGGTGTGGGAGGAGCCATGGGTGGGTGTAATGGGCCCAATGGCTGGAGGGCCTCCTCAAGGGCTTCTCTTCTTTCCTGTAGCATGAGCGGGAGCAGATCATGACCACCAATGTCTGGCTGACCCAGGTTAGTGCTCTTCCCACCCCTGGTCTTCTCTTTCCTCCTTTTCCCTTTCTTTTCGTGTGTCTTTTCCCTCCTTTAATCTCTCGAAAAGAGGCAGAAAGGTATAGACTTTGGAGTCCTAATGAACTGGATTTGCATCTTGGTTCTTCCACTCACCAGCTCTGTGACTTGAACATGTTAAACTCTGCAAGATTGATTTTCTCAGCTGTAAAATGTGGATTCTAATATCTTGGATTAGCTGTTAAATGAGAAAGTATTTTATGATTCACATTTGCTGGGCAGAGAAGTCACTGTGGGAAGGTGATGGGCCCCCTCTTGTCCCTGTTCTTCACCTTGAGCCCTTCCCAGGGCAGCGGTTGATGTTGCCTCCCTCTCTCCCTTTCTCAGGAATGGGAGGATTATCGCCTTACTTGGAAGCCTGAGGAGTTCGACAACATGAAGAAAGTCCGACTCCCTTCCAAACACATTTGGCTCCCAGATGTGGTCCTATACAACAAGTAGGTGACCCTGGAGTAATGGGGAGGCTGGGGGAGACCATGGCAGTGCTCAGGGAAGGAAGGGGTCTTGGGGAAAGTAAATCAGCTCCTGCTGGGTATAGAGAAGATATTTTTTTTTTTTGGCAAAGATTCAGTCACTACCTAGATAGACAGACCCAGACCAGAGACGTATAATATGGACGGCCAAGGTGATTGGCCCATGGTCAGCCCCCTCTCAGCCAGTTAGGAGTCCCAGTGTTTGGAGCTGCAGTGGGATAGAAATAAGGATTGACAGCCCGCAGTGCCTAAACTGATTCACAGTTCAATTCCCCGTCAGGTCACATGCCTGGGTTGTGGGCTCCATCCCCATTGGTGGGCATGCAGGAGGCAGCCAATCAATGTTTGTCTCTCATCATTGATGTTTCTGTCTCTCTCTCCCTCTTCCTTCCTCTCTGAAATCAATAAAAAATATATATTTTAAAAAAGGAATAGACTTTTCCTGGAGGCTTAGGCAAGATCAGAGAACATGGAGGTCTCAGTTTCTCCTCCAGGTTCCATACCCTCTCCTGAAATAATAAATAATCCCTATTGCCCCCAAGATCCAAAACCACCGGTGGGACCATCTCTTGCTCCCACCTGCCTCTGTCCCCCTCCATTGCTCGGGGAGCCTCATTCTGGCCTCCCTGGCTCCTCCAACCCCTCCAACCGCATGTGAAGCAAATAACTTACACAATGCATGACAAGCAGCAGGCGTGTCCCTCACCCCCTTCCTCCAGTTCCTCATCTCTGAGGGGCCTCACACATCTCCTCGGAGAACACCCTTCTCCCCACAGTCCCACCCAGACACCATTCTTGCTCCTTTCCTGCTCTACCACCTGATACTCCGGACGTGGGTTTCCTCTCCTCCCAGCGAGGGCTGGGGTGATGGGTGGGGGTGGAGGAGCGCTGAGGCCAGCGCTGACTTCCTCTCACCCCTGGGCAGTGCGGACGGCATGTATGAGGTGTCCTTCTATTCCAATGCGGTGGTCTCCTACGACGGCAGCATCTTCTGGCTGCCGCCCGCCATCTACAAGAGCGCCTGCAAGATCGAAGTGAAGCACTTCCCGTTCGACCAGCAGAACTGCACCATGAAGTTCCGCTCCTGGACCTACGACCGCACGGAGATCGACCTGGTGCTCAAGAGCGACGTGGCCAGCCTGGACGACTTCACCCCCAGCGGCGAGTGGGACATCGTGGCGCTGCCAGGCCGGCGCAACGAGCACCCCGACGACTCGACTTACGTGGACATCACCTACGACTTCATCATCCGCCGCAAGCCGCTCTTCTACACCATCAACCTCATCATCCCCTGCGTGCTCATCACCTCGCTGGCCATCCTCGTCTTCTACCTGCCGTCCGACTGCGGCGAGAAGATGACCCTGTGCATCTCCGTGCTGCTGGCGCTCACCGTCTTCCTGCTGCTCATCTCCAAGATCGTGCCGCCCACCTCCCTGGACGTGCCCCTGGTCGGCAAGTACCTCATGTTCACCATGGTGCTCGTCACCTTCTCCATCGTCACCAGCGTGTGCGTGCTCAACGTGCACCACCGCTCGCCCACCACGCACACCATGGCGCCCTGGGTCAAGGCCCTGTTCCTGGAGAAGCTGCCCCCGCTGCTCTTCATGCAGCAGCCGCGCCACCACTGCGCCCGCCAGCT